GCATCAGTGTCTCCATGTCGTACATCCCGGCAACCACAACGGCACCAACATGGTTCAACGAGCGGCGCAGCCTAGCGATGGGGATCGTCATCTCCGGCAGCGCAGTCGGGGGCATGATCTGGCCCTCCATTCTAACGGCAATGATCAACCACCTGGGCTTCCGCAACGCGCTGCGTGTATCCGGGTCCATCTGCGCGCTCGCCATCATCCTCGTCTCGCCGGCCGTGAAATGGGAGCCCAGCTTCAACCAGCAGATCCTCACCGAACGCCACGCCCTGCTCCAGCGCGCCGGCGGCTCGCCCGCCCGCGCCCTCCTCCAACCGCCCCGCATCAACTGGCGCCTCACGCTCACCAAGAAATTCCTCCTGAAAGCCGCAGGCTGCATGCTGCAGTCCGCCGCGTACTCAACCCCACTCATCTACTACGCCGCCTTCGGCCGCGCCCTCGGCTACTCCGCCAACACGGCCGCAAATTTCATCACCATCAGCAACGCAGCCAACGCCGTCGCGCGCGTCGCGCTGGGCTACGCGGCCGACCGGTACGGGCGCATGAATTTGTTGTTCGCGACGACCTTCCTCAGCGCCGTCGCCGTCGCCGCCTTCTGGGTGCCCGCGACCGTCGCGGGCGCCACCGCCGCCGGCAAGGCGCTGTTCATCGTGTTCACGGTGCTGTACGGCGCGTTCGCCAGTGCCTACATCGCGCTGTTCCCGGCCTCGCTGATGGAGCTGTTTGGGAAGGCGGACTTCACCAGTGTGAACGGCGCCCTGTATCTGGTGCGCGGGCTGGGTGCGTTGCTGGGCACCCCGCTAACGGGCCTGCTGATCCCGCAGAGCCGTGCGCTGGCGGTGCCCGAGGTGTACGAGCGGGCGGCGCTCGTGGTGATGGCGCTGCTGTTTCCGGCCAGTTTTTGTATTCTGGGGGTACGGTTGGAGATGATGGCGGGGAAGGATTGGAGGTGGAAGGTTTGATTTGGGAGGAGGTTGTGGGTGGACAGGGATGTTCGTTTGTCTGCTGGTGTGGCATTGAAGTTCTTTCTGTAGACGGTATGCTGTACATACTTGTTGTGCTTGGGGAGTCGTGCATGCAACCATTCATCACTGGGCAAGAATCAGTCACAACCAGAGTCAATCTTTGAGGCACTGCTGACCCAATGATCACTCCTCACGATTATTAATTCAACGACAAGGGTTGAACCTCTCCAGGGCACATTAATAATACTACGTATCGAAGGGTTCAAGAAAAGATGAAATTGAGGAAACAGAATGGTGTCTCTAGGACTGACAGTTTGGCCTGGTACGAACCGGACAGGTGGAAGTCGCTAGTCCCGTTGGGGTTTAGTTTCCGTCATGCATCAGCGGCCCAGGCAGATCGGAGACTAGACTCGATTGGGACAGCATATCCAACGCCTGCGGCCCTGGCCCAGTTGGAACTGCTGGCTGAATTGGCCCCCTATGAGAGATGGCGGTGGCGGAAGGGTTCCAGCCTGGCATGACAGCGACAGAGGGGACTTGGAAGGAGAAACCGGAAGTCGATCAGCTCATTTCGCTTGGCTTGGTTGTCAATACTCATAAAATCGAAACCCGTAATTTGAGGAAGATATCTGCGTATGCTTCCCAGATCATATACTCTTGTTCTCCTCGGCCATATACCTTGGTTTTTCAGAATGAAGACATCCTACGCGGACACAGGTTGTAACAAGCGATGAAATACCATTCCATGATTAATAATACTCTATATAGTCATATCGCATAAAACCCCAATCCAACAAAATCTAAGGAGTCTCCTCAACGTTGTAGACGAGCTTCTCACCGCTGACCTTATCCTGCTTCAGCAGCTCCAACCCCTCCATGACACCCTCCAGCCCACGGGCGCCGACCTTGGGCCGGTGGACCTTGACCTTACCCTCGGCCAGCAGCTGGGTGGCGGTCTCCCAGAAGCGGGCAGCGAATTCACGGTCCTCAGGCTTGGCGGGCATGCGGGTCTCGCCGAAGGTGAAGTCCTCGCCGACGGCGGTGTAGGCCAGAGTCCAGCGGTCGTTGACGTTGGCGCGCCCGGTGCCGACGGACAACAGGGCGCTGTACTCGCCGCCCTCGGTGGAGATCGCTTCGTCGCAGAACTTGGCGCTGGCCTCGACGGAGATGGTATCCAGCACCAGACGGAGCTTGTTGTCGGTGTACTGGCGGATCTCGGCGGGGGTGTTGGGGTTCTTGTAGTCGAAGGCGGCGTCGGCGCCCAGCTGCTTGACCAGGTCAAAGTTGTGCGGCGAGCAGGTGGTCAGCACCTTGTAGCCGGAGAGCTTGGCGAACTGGATGGCCAGCGCGCCGGTGGCGGTGGATCCGCCGTAGATGAGGAGGGGCTCGGGGTTGGCGGTGGGCGCGGTGGGTGGCGCCAGCTTCAGGCTCTGGTAGAGGGCCTGCCCCACGGTGGTGATGCCCACACCCAACGTGGCGGCCTCCTGGAAGCTCAGGTTGGCCGGGATCTTGGTCGACAGGTCCGCCTTGGCGACGATGTACTCGGCGAAGGCGCCGTCCTCGGGCTCCACGGCGTTGGCCCCGTGCACGAACCCGCACACCCGGTCGCCCTTCTGGAACTTGCCCTGCACGTTCTTGCCGACCTCCTCCACAATACCGGCGTAGTCACAGCCCACCAGCACGCCCACGGGCGCCAGGAAGGCGATGTGCTTCCAGTCGGTCGGGTTCAGCGCCACGCTGACGGTCTTGACCAGGATGTAGTCGTCGCGGAGGGCGGGGATGACCCGGTCGCGGACCAGGCTGGCCTGCTTAGGAGAGGTGACCACGATGGCTTTCTGGGTGGACATGGTGGTGGTGGTGGTGGTTGTTGGTTGTGGGTGAGTTTGCGTTGCGGTGGATGGATGGTTGCGGAGGACAGATGTTGGTAGTGGATTGGTTCTGTCGGACTTCGGCAGGGGTTGAATGGTTTATATAGCAGACGAAGGTCTAAAAAGCTTGCAGAAAGCAAAACTCCAGCGCCTGGGAAAGGAGGAAATGATTAGAAATGGCGTCAATCAGGCATTGAACCTCTCAGATGACAAATCGTGCTGGTGATCTCATCTGCTTTGGAGCTTTGGACCCACTTTCTGCAGCGAATCCTTTCTAGAAGAACCGAGGGACACCGCAGCTGCACTGTACTGCACTGAGTTTCTGCAGAGCTCTGCAGGCCCGTTGACTCTACGCAGCGGAAACTAGACCTATTCCGTTCGCCAAGCTACAAACTCAATTGCTGGTCAAGCACAATTCAATCGGCTTGATTAACATTGGGTCTGGTACAGTACAGTGCTACATGGTCAAGAAGATAGCCAAGAGCGCAGATATTTTCTTACCAGTTGAAGTCCAAACTTTGTGTTTTGCGTTTACTCATCCTCGCAGGAATGCGCTAATCGCCGCTTGGTATGCTGTCTTGCGAGTTTTTACCAGCGTAAAAGGTATGATTAGTTATCACGGGTTAATAATCAATTGTTTGACTGTACTCGCTGGGATACCGAGGGATCGAAGGTATCCCATCGGTTAAGCTTCCGGGGGCTGTGACATGCGGGTTGAACTTGGAATTAAGTTGGATTTCAAAGATTAGTGAACATTATGCAGCTAAAGTAGAGCCGGGGCTTGGCACCAGTCGACTGCCCGACGGACCGAAGACACCCTAGGTATGCGTTGAATGCTGCAGGTTGGAGTCTAGTCGACAAACCCCATAGTGGGCACAACACGTGGCAGATACCCCAATGGAACAAAACGAGGTTTCGGGAATGTTCTCGGTGCAAGTGAGCTTGCAGCGCGAGATGAATATACATTAGGAGGATCAGCAAAAAGTAATGACCAGACTGGGGCTCGATCCCAGGACCTTATCGGTGTTAACGATACGTGATAACCAACTACACCATCCGGCCAGTTGATGAATATCTAAAGAAAAGTAGTCTCATACCTCCCAAAACAGTTTTCACAGCGTACTCAGAATTCACTGAAGTGATATGCCAACTCGCAAGGTTACCCAGCAGTACATGGTAGCTCTGCCCTAATTACCTGGGGCAGCTGTAGGTCAGTAGTCGTATTGGGCTAGACCTGGCTAGTGTCGCATACTTGAAAGCAGACCTAGAGTCCATCCAGAACTAGGAGTGGTGGAAGTGGGGGCTTGGAATATTCCTGTGGTGATGGTAAGGGACCAACTCGCGAGTTTCTCGGTAATGACAAGCAATAACCCTACCTTCAATGTCACTCTGTGTGATCTTGTCTGTGGTGTGGCTCGGGTGTTGGCAGTGCTGTTGAACTCGGTGCCCCAGAAGTCGGAGAGGTCTGCCGATCGTTGGTTTCTCGGATGGGGTTTGGCGATGCGAATATATATCGTACAAAAATCCCCTTGGCAGCTGTCACATCCCTACCAGTAGCTTCACCCCCCCCAAAAAAAACAGGCGAGCATGCCTCACAAGACACTATACACTAATTTCAATCAGCTACGAAGCACTAAATCTTGACATTAGAGTTCGATAAGTAAAAGCTTTGCGATTGTGGTGACGGAAGGGGAATGGGTATGAGTTTGAATTTCTCCCTGGAAGCAAAAGTTTAGGCGATCATATTATAATTTAGTGCTGAAAACCATAAGTTGGCCGGATGGTGTAGTTGGTTATCACGTATCGTTAACACCGATAAGGTCCTGGGATCGAGCCCCAGTCTGGTCATTTTTTTGTGCTCACACTCTTACACAATATCATTTTTGCTCCGATGTTGGATACCAGCTACTCATCACAAACAGAGACTTGCTCTCACAAAGATAAGACATGTTTGCAAGCTGCAACTCGCGATACCCGTTCCAACTGCGCCCCCGAAGTCAGAGACAACCAAGTTCCTCTCCATCCGCCACACTAAACCTCACCACCCGGTGCTCTTTCTCGTCCATCATTTCCATTCACTTCCTTCTCCTATATTTCATCCGGTAGACATATCTGTGGGGGAGATGGTAAGCCCACTGAGCGCAGCTGCACGGTGCAAGTACTACTGAATCTCCAGTAGCTCAAAGGAAGGCAGGGGACACCTCTCTGGGTCGTGGGTCAGAAGCCGAAGAAAGTCACCCGATTGCAGTCTCCTCGAGTTCCAGGGATTTCTGAACTCCAAGCCCCCGGTGTTATCCGGAGCAAAAGCTGGGGGCGAGAGCAGCGGAACATCGGAAGGACACTGATGACTAGGGAGCCAAAAAAACTGGACGCTCAGCGATTTAAAATCCCGGCCCAGCTCGACCGGTCTCAAGGCACAGTGTAAACTCGCCCAAGCCCGAGAGACGTCAGTGCGCAGAAGCATCGTGTTGCCGAGCTCATTCGTGCACCCGCAGCCAAACACGGCTTGTCTCCAGCCTACCACCCTAGGCTCCTCCCAAAACACCCCCAAAGCCTCCCACAGTGTAGCCCGACTCCTTGCATTCGACGCTCCCGCCGGACGATGCGGATAGACATTTACAGTCCTAGTGTTGACGTCTCGCGTGATCACACAGAACTGGTCTCGTTCCATACACTGTGGCCGGTCAGTTTCCACATCCTGAGCGAGGCACTACTACCAGACGGGACACCTAGCACGGACCAGATCGAACGGGTTCTCGGTCAACTCCGCCCACCTTTCAAACATATCGCACGCCCCTAGGTGGAAAAGAGACTTCAGTCAGATTCCCGGTGCCGCTTAGGTATCGTGTTACTCACATGAGGTCAGCGCGTCCCTGAACATAATGCCGCCGTGGCCAAGCAAGAGCCGGAACGCGGCGCGGGATCCCATGCACCCATCGCGCAGTGCCAGGAGAGCTTCAACATCAGCCAACCAGAGCAAAGCCCGGACACTTGGGTCGACCATGCCGATGCCCAGTTCTGAGCTGATCTGGGAGATGATTTCAGCTCTCCCTGGATCGCCAAACTCGGGCACTGGGTTGCTCAAAATGGATCTCACCAGTTCATCATCGGCCCCTGGGATTGAGATCTCTGGTTTATTCATGGCGCTTGTGCGATTCCTGGAACTCGCTGTGTTGCACCTCGGAGGCGATGGCGGAAGAACAGGGAATCCGAGAAGGTGAAAGGTAAATTGGAAGGTTCGAGTCTTTTATCAGTGGGAAGGTAGTGCTATGAACTCTTGAATGGGACACCGCGAGGACGGGGATAAGAGTTGCATAATATGCAGAGAAAAGCGAAGACGGAGAACAGGGTGGCAGAGTCTGTGAAGCAAGAAAGTGAGGTAGTGGAGGATGGGAGGGAAGGCGGGTTTCTCTGCCAAGTGGTATAGGAAGGAGCCCGCAGATTCATTCGTTGAGCTCTACATGAGCAGGAACAGCATAGGCTGTGATCACTTGCACTGAAAGAACCCCGTGTACCTCGCGACGCCCCTTCGCCTACTATGTACTCAATGAACGGTCCTGAAAAGGAGGAACCAAGTGATAATGGCCACAGATAATGGGGAGTAGGAAGACAGCGATCGACAAACTGTGAGTGATTTCAATGTGTTGCGTTGCAGACTTCACCAACGAATGGTTCGACCTTTGTATGTCACCTTGGCATATGGAATGCCTTCGGCGAGTCCAAATTAAGGGCCCACACAGTGCTCACGCGACAGAGTCAAGTACTACAAGTAAGTCAGACACAATTAATTGCCATCTTGTCAAGCAAATATCAGTGTCGCATGGTTGATACCCCTGCGTCACTACATACTGTCGACTACTTGCGGAGGACAGATAGTGTGGCGATGTGAGCATTGCATGGCAACATAAAGCAAGACATAAAGACTCATAGATAATGAATTTCTGGTTCAAGTAAATTATTCAAGACAGTTCGGGGGTGAGATTTCAGTTGGGCCGTAATGATATGTTGAATTTAGCTTCTTTGAACATGCTGTTTACTCTCACAATGAAGTTAGACCTCTTTCTACGATGGGTTCAAAAAGTGCTGCATGAATTTTAGGGGATAAGAACAAAATTAATAGAAGTATTATATAATCGGCCGGATGGTGTAGTTGGTTATCACGTATCGTTAACACCGATAAGGTCCTGGGATCGAGCCCCAGTCTGGTCATTTCTTTTTGTATTTTTTCTTGTTGACCTGATAAATCTCATCAAATCTACCATCTATGATGGAATCGCAAACATACAGGAAAGGTTATTTGCGTCATGGTACCCTTCGTGCTCTTAGCTAGGCAGAACGGGATCCGAGCGTAATTGACCTGCATTGTCATTGGCAATCCAATCATTGCACCTAGCCAAGCTGACGGCCGAATGCCTTTCGTTATGGTCGGACACTCCACCCAGCCTTTGCCTAATAATCCGAACGGTAAACCGGCTTGTGAATTCATTACGACACAAAGTTGCGTTGATGCATATCGGAATCTAAGTGACTTGTATCGAATGCACGACTGTGGCCAGGTATCGGTAGAGGATAGGGCAACGACCTTTACATGCTGGTAGGCTGGTATCAACGAGGAAGTCACACTTGACCACCAGTTCCTAGAAAGTTGACTCCTATGATCGTCTTCGTCTTCTCGAACAATAATCGATCATTCAATCCACCGTGTTTCTGTCTCTGAAATAGTACCATCTTTACCTGAAAGCCGTGTTTTCTTTTCGGGCTATCTCTGCTCCAAAGAGGCTGGTCTGGATATGGAAATTCAGTCTGAACGGTATGTGTCTGTCGTCCAATCCTGATAAGCAACACCGTTGCTTTTTAGAGCATAGTTCCGTTGGTGAGGTAGGTACCATAGAGAATATGAAAATATTTCATCACTAGTTTGAGACCTGTTGTCATCCATAGGTCACGAATTAGAACCCGATAAATTCTACTTTTGTAAAGACCTGAAGCCGTTCTACCCAAGCTCAAATCCCTCGACCCTTCTTCACGCCCACACCCGCACGATTCGGATTCCGAGGACCGTCAAACGAAGAAAACGTCTGGAGTAAGTTTGCTTTACCTCCTACGGCCTCAGTCGCACTGTCAACCCCACCCGTCGAATCAGATGGCCCTTTCATCTTGTTCTCAATTTTCCGGGAAGGTCAAAAGTAGACCCAATCTTTGTCACACTGGATGTCGGCGGTCATTTTTCTTCGTTTGCACATTAGATGTGCTACCATCGTCACGCACCCTTATATCCAGAGACAAATTCTTCAGACTTGAAAATATGCACGATCATGCCTAGCCAAGTCAAGGTGCATGTAGGATATTTTGCTTAGCGGAGCCAACTGCTTTCGACAGGACTAAGTGGATCAAGCAACGTCTCTGCAGTCCACAGCACGGTTTGTCGCAGAAGAGCTCTGCATGAACCTACCACGGGTGAAAAGTGAACCGACACAGACCTCCCATTTGCGCCATTGCATAGCATTCTAGCGGCTGAGCCGGCATATACGAAGTACCCAGCACGACACCCGCCCTGACAGTTAAACCGTCTGTGGCGTCAATCTACATTCTTGTCGGCACACCCGTGCATATTTGTGAGAAAGTCCATGGTCGTACCCAAGAACTCCTCAAAGAATCAAAGTCTGACGACCCCATGTGAACCAGACCGATGGCAACGATGAGCGAGCAATGAATCCCAAGGTACATAGCTTAGTTCGGTTCGCAATACTGTCTAAAGTTAATAATATGAATGAGTTGTCAAAAATTGGACACAAATATCACAGTTGGCCGGATGGTGTAGTTGGTTATCACGTATCGTTAACACCGATAAGGTCTTGGGATCGAGCCCCAGTCTGGTCATCTTTTTTTGCCACCGATCTCTTTTGCATGGTCTCTCGCCGATTCACCGCGAGATCCAAGGGATTCGCCAGACTACTCTGCTCCTTTCCCAAAGGCAGCCCGGCTACTAGCAGGTCTCTGGAACCTTTTGCGCCCGTTCATGCGTTGCGGGATACCCCTGGCTCCAGCGGTTGCGGTCGATGGAGACATGTTGCCTACAACCCTGACGCAACCAGAGATTTCAGTACCATGGCCAGCATCTTATGCCCTCATAAATATGGGTCCAGTCGCGCTTTACCACCTCGGACATTGTGCCTTGTCGCAATCTGGTATCGACTAACGCGTCCAGTCGATGAAAGTGCATACGAAATGTAAACGACTAAGTCCTGAGATGCCGAGCCAAGAAATAAACTGAAATCATTAGACCGTTTCTGAAATCAGTAGTGAAGTATGTTATTTAATTCGACAGCTTATACAATCGATTTCTATATTTCAATGGAATGGATAGTTCACTGTGCTTCTTATATGATATCGAAATCTAGGTACATCCCGACTGCACTGGGCTACGCAGACAGCGGCAGCGGGTCACTTGTTGTCTCGAGCCCTAATGTCTCCCCTCCCTCCGAGCAGGGGCTCATGCGCCCTCCGAGAAACCTCAATTTTGCAACAAGTCAAATTGACCCAATTCAAGTCTCATGAGTCGATTCCTCTTAGAAGTGCTCTCAGACCCAGGCTGATGATTGAGGATCTTCACCGCGGCAGATGCCATTCGCCGACCGAGCCCTAACTTGACCGGCCGAGACATTGTGTCCAGCACCGAATCTCTCCTCAAACACAGACCATGAATTGTACCGATGGTCACCAGAATAACAAGCCCCCTTCGCACCGCAGATGGAAGTTAACAAAGCCATTGCCACTGCCGTGCTAAAAAAGAGGTTGAGGCCTCAGAGGAGCAAAAAGCAAAAAGAAATGACCAGACTGGGGCTCGATCCCAGGACCTTATCGGTGTTAACGATACGTGATAACCAACTACACCATCCGGCCGATTCATGAAATAAGGCTTGATTTTAAATTACAACAGCCTTGTCAATGGCACTGTCAATTATTTCTAGCCCGTTGCAAACATACAACCCCCCCTCAGCTGAGGCAATCGACAATGTTAGAAAAGATAGTAGAACTACCCATGCTTCTGTGAAATAATCAACCAAATCCAACTCTACCCCAATATCCTGTTTTCACACTCTTCATGTTGATACTCCGTCTCCAATCACTTGTAGTCAAGGCAAGTCGCTCAAACATCCTCCTCACCCAGAACCGTCGTGACCGCAACACCATCCTAAATCCAGTCAGTATGACATTCAATGCTCCCCTAAAACCCAACCCAACCAACAGAAGCACGTACCCGTCCAAACTGCGTCTCAAACTCGCGCACAAGAGTCTGGTACACCAACCCAGGCCTCGGCCTCAACCCCCTCGCCTCCCACCCCTTCTCCCCCTTCCTGGACTCCAGCAGACCCCTCTTCTCCGCACACCCAGCCCTAACCCACTCCAAATACTGCGGCGCCCCCGGCATCACCACATTATCCGCAATCACCACCGACTTCTCCGGCACCAGCACCCCCAGCTCCTCCATCAACCACAGATCCGGCAGATACAGCTCCTGCCAATGATCCAGAAACACTAGCTCCACCGCCTGCAGCTCCCCATCCGCCACCAACTCCCGGAGGCTGGACGCCGCCGACCCCACGACCACGCGCACCACATCCTTCAGACCCGCCAGATCGACCAGCTGGTTCGCAACCGCCGCCATCTCCGGGTTCTGCTCCAGACTGAGGTACCGGGTGCCGCCGGCGGCGCGGAGGGTCGCCCCGAACAGGATGGCGGAGTACCCCACGTACCCGCCGAGTTCGATCATGACCTGGGGTCTGTGGGCGACGATCAGATCGCGGATGTAGGTGCCCTTGGTGGCGCCGATGTTCATGAGCGGGTTGTGCGTGTGGCTGTAGGTGTCGATGGCGGCGAGGATGGCGGGAGGGTTGTTGCGCAGGGTGCGGAGGTCCGGGTGCGAGTAGATGTAGTGGAGGAGGTCGATTTCACGGCCGTCCTTTTTTCCCGCCGGGTGGAGGTTTGAGGTTAGTGGTTGTGGTTGGGGTGGGTGGTGGGTTGGGACTTACGAGAGCGTAGGCTAGAGGGCTTGGGGCGTGGGGCTTGGACATTGTGGACTGCGGCGTAGGGTCTGTGTTGATGTAAACGGTGGATGTTGAGGTGTGTATAACTGGAAATAATGCTTGAGGATGATGATACAGGCTTGAGGTCGAAGTTGCAGGTTCCTGTTGAGTTGTGCGAGACTTTTATGCCATGGAGCTTGCTCTTTGTTCCCAGGCAACCGTCGGCGATTCGGCCATCTCATGGAGTTTACCCCTTCTTTGTCCTGTCTCCGGACGGATTATTCGGGCTTAACACGGACGACGTAGCTTTGATGATGATAAGTCGACCACTTTGTATGTTTGTTTTGCGTTTCTGGGATTAAGCTTAGATGCGCCACGGAGATAAACACCATAGCGGGCTCGGAGCCGAGGATTCGGAGCCCGGGTCGCGGGGTAAAAGCCGATCGCCCTGCCAAGGCGCAAGGCTGAGCTCAATCACATACGTTTTTATCAAGCTTATCAACTCTGACGCCTCTACTTTCATTCACTGACACGTTTCTCTTTGAGCTGCTTTGTGCTGCGATGATGCGATTGATATATGTAGCACTAAGCACATGGATACTATTTCTTCGATCTTATGCGATCCCCCAAAACCAAACTATTCATTTGTTGTCCGATGGTTGCTACTTCACTGATGACACCCACGCAACAAAACAGGGGCTAAAGCCATCGTGTTTCTTGGTGCAACCTACCCGATGATTTAGGTAGCGACTCGGATGCACTGCAGCGAGTACTTTCTTTGGAAAGGGCTGCTGGAAAGGGATCATGAAGTAGGCCACTCTCTCATACAAGGCGACCAAGCACGAGACGAGACGAGACATCCCCTCTTCGCAGCTTATATATATTCAACGCTGAGATATTGCCGACCTTTGGGCGTGCAGATGCGCATTGAAATACCGCCCATTATTCGAAGGACTCAACCCACAGCATGCTCCTGAAGTCCAGAATATTTACCATCGAGACTGCACTGCTTCCAACAGGAGAGGGGTACCAAAAACTTGCTCTTCCTGAGGCTTTCGCGATGCGAATCAGCAGTAAGGGATCATCTAATAGCCCCCTTCGGCCACGCCACTTCCCACTTGGGGATAGAGGAAGGCATCGGCCACGATCTCTTTCACAGGATTACAATACCGAGCGAGTCAAAACACTCCGATATCATTGAATATCGTCAATAATACATAACCTGGAACTCCGGTCCCATATGGCTGGCGGCAGTCACGAGTGCAAGACCGTGGCCCAAAGGGCGACCACATATGTCAACGATACTAGGGCCAGATGGCATGACAAGACCCCGACCGGATGCGACTAGTAGTGCTCGAATCCTGAAGCGAGTCAGGATTCTGAACACTCGGGAAGGATTGAGATTCGTATCTCGCGCAATGGGGTCTCGATTCGTGGCTGTCATGGGTGGGTATTTCGGTTCTGAAGAAGGTATATGTGATATGTGCAGTCCGCATTTCAAAGTCAAGGTACTCGAGGTGCGTTGGTGCGGAGGATGATTCATCAACTCGATGGGCTGGGGCGTCAGGCTGATAGGATGGGTCCGCAGCTGGTCCGGCCTATATCTCGAGCATGGTCTAGCGGAGCTCAATTGCGTCACAGTGGACGAGAAGCCATGGGAAGGTCTGAAGGGGGAAATCAGTTCCTCTATGTTACTCGTGCGATTTGCTGGAGAGAAGTTAGGCACAAATGTTGAGGTGCAGTATCCCCAATAATTAGTCCACCACGGTTGCTCCTTGGTCAATAACTTGCGGGTGGGGTATCTCGGTTAAGAGATGTTTGATCTTACATTGATTCGTGGCACACACGCAGAACTAAAGATGTTAGCTTGTTCGTCTGGTAGATTACGCCATCCTGGGGTGGGATTGTATGCCTTGTGGATCATTCCCGTGGCATGCATAACTGACAAGGAATTCGAGATTCATGGCTTCAATGCTGCGGCATCTTTCGAGTACATATTACATATTGTCAGATTGGGACGGCTGACTCAAGGAAAGGAGACCGGCTGGAGACAGTAGAAGCAGAAATGTCACAATTGTTCAAGATCATCCGCAGAGTGCGTGGCAGATTGGAAAGACCAAAGACCAATCGGAGATGGTTTCGGACGCCCGGTGGTGGAGGGGAAGTGGCGCCTGGTTGCTGAGGCGGTCATTTGCCATCGCTCAGGCACCCACATTTCCTCTTCCATCTTCCATCTGCCCGTCCCAACCTTTCTTACTCAGTCCAACCAACTACACTCCAGAATGTCGATAAGCTTGATGGCCCCACAAAGCTTGACTGATGCCAATTCTCAATGGATTTGGGGACTGCCACCTTGGATGATATCCCACTTCACCATACACACACCCTCCTAGTCGATGCTGGCGAGCCCCTCGGAAAGCCGAGCGCCACCAACTGCACCACCACCATGCATTTCACTCAGCAACCTCGCGAGGATTTCAATCGTTCATGTGAACTCTTCCAGAAGACCGGATAGACTCATACACTTCTTTCAAGATAGTAGTCGACGGACTTGAAAAACAATGCTTTACATTGGCGAATTGAGTGCGGGGACGCCTTTCTTATCGCGACAATTGACCCACCTGCTACTTTATTGCCAACCAACTAACGCCCAATCATCATACAGTCGCCCCTCTCATTCCGCCTGCAATGCATATTCCATGCTCAGCCGACCACATAGGCCCCCATTGCGCATGCAAGTGCCGTTTTTCACCTTGTGTGCAGTATATGCTCATTGGACGCCTGCGCGTTGATGGGCCAAAGTTGGTCAACCGAAAACAGCCGCCCTATCACAGAACTGCTCCGGCCTCATTTCTCCAGGAAAGCCCGAGGGGAATTACCGCTCTCATATTAATGCATATGCGTTATCAGGCACTACGATTGTGTGCTACATGGCCACCCGCTAGCTGGAAAGAAGCTGGCCGACCATTAAAGAGACGGAATGCCACGTTTCCCCATCCAATTTCTTGGTGTGAGATGAATTTGCTCCAAGTTTTAGGAAACCCTTGAAGTCTACCGTCCGCCAAGATGACTGACCACCACAAAGAAGGTGTCTTCCTCAAAGGGCTTCAGGTGGACCAGGAGAAGCTTGGAGCGACTAAGACTAGTATCAATGAAAATGATCTCGACAGCCTTTTGCTGCAGTTGAAGCACCTGGTGGCTGAAAACGAGCTCGATGTCAATTTTCCAGCCTATATCCTCACCCAGGCACGGGAGATTCTCGATGCCGAGGCCCACCATGTTGATCTCTCTCAACTTCAGACTCTCGTGGCTGAGATCGCCAAGCACCGCGACTTGATTGCGAACGACTCACCGTACGCGGAAGTCCGCGCAGTGGTGGATCCGACGGACGACCCTGAAGTCTCGGCCAACACCTTCCGGGCCTGGTTTCTCGGGCTGCTGTCGACCGTCATCTTCACCGCGGTCAATCAATTCTTTACCCTTCGCTACCCCACCATCAACATTTACTCGTTGGTCGCCCAGCTGCTCTCATACCCGTGTGGCGTATTTCTGGCGCAAGTTCTGCCCACACGAAAGTGGAATCTACTCGGCTGGCACTTTACCCTCAATCCCGGCCCCTTCAATCAAAAAGAGCACATGCTGATCACTGTCATGTCCAATGTGTCATTTGGAGGCGCGAACGGTACCGCATATATCACCTACATCTTCCAAGTCCTCAAGGCCAAGTCCTTCTACAATATGACGTCCCTCTACGACAAGGCCGGATTCCAGATCCTATCGGCCCTATCAACCCAACTGATTGGGTATGGATGTGCCGGTCTGACCCGAAGATTCCTGGTGTATCCGCCTTCCATGATCTTCCCCAAGTGCTTGTCCACGATCGCATTGAACAAGGCCTTGCACGGCGACGAGGGCCGTGACAAGGAGGTGAATGGGTGGAAGATCAGCCGCTACCGCTTCTTCATGTACTGCTTCGTCGCCATGTTTATCTACTATTGGTTTCCCGCGTACATTTTCCAAGCCCTGTCCTACTTCAACTGGATCAATTGGATCTCGCCCGAGAACGTCAAACTGGCCATCATCACCGGTACGATCAACGGCATGGCGCTCAACCCATTCCCCACCTTCGACTGGAACATCGTGTACGCAATCTACGACCCGATCATCTATCCATTCTATTCACTACTGAACAACGTGGTCGGGATGGCCATCGGATCCTTCTTTATCATCGTGCCGATCTACTTCACCAACGTCTGGAACACAGCCTACTTCCCCATCAACAGCAACGACGTCTTCGACAACACGGGCAGCACGTACGACGTGAGCAAAGTCCTAAACAGCAAGGCCGAGTTCGATGTCGAGGCCTACAGCAAATACAGCCCTCCCTACCTTTCCGCGGGTTACAGCATCATGTTCATGGCGTCGTTCGCAGGATACCTAGCCGCTATCGTGCACATCGCGCTCTACAACCGACAAGAGATCACCAAGGGGGTACAAGCGCTGTGGAAGTGGACCAGCGCACGCGACGAGCACGAGGACGTGCACAACCGCCTGATGCAGCGGTACAAGGAGGTACCCGAATGGTGGTACCTGACCATCCTCGCAATCTCCTTCGTGTTTGGCTGCATCGCGGTGGCCCACTACGACACGGGGATGCCGATCTGGGGCCTGGTGTTCGCCATCGGGCTGTGCCTGTTCGTGCAGATCCCGTACGGGATGATCTACGCCATCACCAACACGGAGGTGACCAACAACGTGATCGCCGAGTTCGTAGCGGGCTACGCCATCCCGGGGAAACCCGTGGCCAACCTGATGTTCAAGGCGTTCGGGTACATCGCCTGCGCGCAGTCGATCCAGTTCGCGGCCGATCTGAAGTTAGGACATTACATGAAGATCGCGCCGCGGGTGCTCTTCTCGGCCCAGGTGGTGGCCACGATCGTCGGGGCGTTTGTGTCCGTGGGGGTGAACGCGTGGGCGCTGGCCAACATCGCGGACGTGTGCTCGCTCGACCAGCCCAGCAAGTTCACCTGCGCCGGCGCCCGCGACTTCTACACCTCCTCCGTGATCTGGGGCGCCATCGGCCCGCGCCGCCTGTTCGGGAGCGGCCAGATCTACAACCCCCTCCTGTACGGGTTCCTGCTCGGCGCCCTCCTCCCGATCCCCTTCTACCTCCTCACGCGCTTCACCCCCAGCAACAGCAAGGCTGCAGCGGCAACCCGCTACATCTACACCCCGCTCGTCCTCTCGGGCATCTCCAACCTGGCCCCCTACAACATGAGCTACGGCTGGCCGGCGCTGGTCGTCGGGTTCGTGGTGAACTACTGGATCAAGCGGCGGTGGGTCGGGTGGTGGGAGAAGTACGCGTACGTGTTCACATCGGCGATGTCGTGCGGGGTGGCGATCGCGGCGATCGTGGTTTTCTTTGCCGTGCAGTATCACGAGGTGGACATCAACTGGTGGGGCAATGAGGTCTCGTATGTCGGGTGTGATAATGAGGGGTGTCCGCTGTTGGGGATGCCGGCATCGGGGAAGATATAGAGCCTGGGTTGAGAGGGGTTGGATTTGGTGGGTTTCTTAGGGCTTATATTTTGATAGCATGGGTGGGGGGGGGGGGAAAGTCTTGAATGATGTGTATGTATTTGGTCTATGTGGTATACTATAGTCTATATCTGTATCTATCTATGAATTCTAAAACGAGCCAAGTAACAAGAAAAGAATGCTGACACAGTGCCCCAAAGAGGAAAAGCAAAGCAAAGCAAAGCAAAGCAAAGCAAAGCAAAGCACAGCAAAGCACAGCAAAGCACAGCACAAGCTATATACACAGTCCGATGGACGAGAACACTCTTCACCCAGAGAAAACAACCACAGTCCCCAAACTCTGCCTCTCTCAGCAGCAGCAGCAGCAGCAGCAGCAGGACCCCTCAACAACCCCCTCCCTAATCAACTCCCCCTACTCTGCCTTCTTCGAAGCCTTCGTCCGCAACTTCATCAACCCAAACACCAACGCATACCCGGCAATCGCAAAGATCACACAAATCCCGGCATCGCGCCACCCATAATAATAATGATTAATGTTGAGCGTCGTCAAAAAGTCACTGCCATCCGTGTACTCACACACGCGACAATCCGCCGTGGCCTCGGGATTCACCAAATTCACGCGCCATCCCTTGTTATCCACATAGCTTTGGAGGTACTCGCCGCAGGTGCCGTTCACCGGATCGAAGACCGCGAACTCGTCCGCGTTGCAGGTGACCTTGGCGCCCCAGATGCCGAACACCAGCATCCCGGAGGTGACGTAGTTGAAGGGGTTGAGGTAGTACATCCAGTAGCGCCAGAAGACACTGAGCTGGGAGTAGGGGACGAAGACGCCGCACATCAGCACCAGGAAACTGATGATGAGCGGGTTGACGAGGGCTGCGAAGGTGGGGTTCGGCGCGTAGGCTGCCACAAACTGGCCGATGCCCGTGTAGATGAATTCGTAGATGAACATGATGAAGAAGGTGGAGCCGGCGCGGGAGGATTCCGTGGGCAGTTTGGTCTGGTAGTACCAGCATACGAAGTAGAGCACGGCACAGATGCAGAGGTACGGGAATTCGGAGACGATCAGCCCCGTCACGAAGGCGACCCAGCTGTACATCTTGGACTTCTTCTCGCGGGCGTCGTAGATGTCGCGGCGTTGGATGAAGAGGGGTTGCAGTTGGTTGATCACGCCGGGCGCCACGAAGACAAAGTTGAAGATGGTGAAGAGTTTGAGGTTCAGGGCTGAGACGCTGGGGCCGATGTGCCAGAAGCTGAAGCCATTCAGCAAAGCGGAGATGATGTGCAGGCTGAATTTATTGTTGACGTAGTTCGTGTTGCGGAAGAGGGCCACGTTCATGCGGTGCGTCACGATCTTGACCTGGTCCCACAGCGGCATCGAGAACTCGTAGCCGTCGTCGTGGGTGCCTGGCGGTTTGGCCGCCGCGTCCGCGATCAGGTGGTCCAGTTCCTGCATCATGTGGCTGTGCTCGGGCGAGTCGAGCCAGACCTGGTGCCA